CTCCTCTTTGTCTCAGAAGTTGAGCCCCATGCCTAGCAGCTGCTTAACTACACTGGTGAGTACTAAAATTCTTGCCTAAATAGCCGTAGGACTGGTGTCCAATCTGAAAAGGTTCCCGACTGCCGTTCCCTCTGGCAGACAGGCTTAGTAAGGAGGCTGAAAAATGTTTAGGCTCACACTCTCTCGTGGACACAGGGCAGGAGAATGTTTGTAAGTGGACATTTGTAAGTGGAGGCTCAAGTGGATGCTGCTCATCAGGAGAATACACGCTTCCTCTGAAGCAATGGCATGTTTTTGGACAACCACTCAAATTTTGGGAAGAAACCAGGAGACACCACAGCTGAATTCTGATGGTATGTGTCAGCAAGCTCAGCTTGAACATAAAACCACCGTTGTAAACACTCGCATTCATGAAAGAGTGCTACAGATTTAAAGTTAAGTACGTAAGGATTTAATTTTGGCTTCCATTTGCAAACTAATACCTTGTGTAGTGAAACGTTTTCCAGCAGTTACATGAACGCATAAGTTTAGAATAGCATCAGAAGAAACCAGTATAGTAATTACCAGTGCTCCTTTGTGGCAGGATCTCTCCTCTTCCCTGCGTTCTTCCATCAAACTACATAGGAAACCTAGCAGAGGTTTAGCTCATGTGCTTATTAAACATGGTCCAAACAGGTCAGTATCGTTACGTATGTTACTTTGGTGAAGACCTATTCCCTGTTCACATCTTGCTCCTCCATCCTATCCCAATTCTGAAACTGTTTTCCAAATCTGTTTTCCAAGAGATATGATTACCGTTTCAGAAATACATTATCTGACAGAGCAGCTCACAAAACTGAGTATTTATTTAATACCAAATTAGGTAAGGTCCTTCTGGGTGTAACTTGCCAATCCAAGGCCTAAACCTTTGTTTATGTAAGCTGATCTGGTGCTCCAGACTTATTCCTGACATACACCGATGTGAAATGACAACAGAATGAGATTCCTATGAAATAACTTATTCACCTGCACACGTTACCATTCTCATCTGCTTCAAGAGCCAGGGACTGCGATGGCACGTAGCTCACTTCGTACTGAAATCCACGACACGTTAAAGCTTCTACTGACAGATGTGTCACAACACTTAAACGCTCCACTGGTCCTGTTACCTGCAAACCAGTGCGATATGGCAGGACTACCCCTGTGCAGGGCTGGGGCTGCGCGGGACGAAACAAAGCGACTCTTCCTGGAATACGCGGTTTTGCCGCAACTGCACCTCACACACAAGGTAAGTCACCGGGATCCGGCTTCCGCAGTCTTCAAAGCAAACTGCTGGCTGAAACCAAAGTACTCTAAGGGAAATGTCTTCACTCTTGAAAGGCTTCTCCCCGCTTGCTATCACACTGACCTCACAGGTTTAATGCTGAGGACTAATACACGTCAACTATAAATTCTGTCCGCAGGGATACGACCGTATGACGGGATCACTATCACTTCCACGCTGCCAGCCTCGTTTCTGATTTTTTTTTTTTTTCCTCATTTTCTGCCTAATGTCAAAGATGTGATGTACAGATGAAGGATGGCCAACTCTGGGCTTTTTGCTTATCTACTGAATCTTGTGCGTATGGTTGCGAGCTCACGCCGGGTTAAGACAACAAGGTCCGAAGAAAACATCACCAGTGTTTCAGAACAACTGCGCACCGGTGACTTCACTTGCTTGATTCAAAGTAATTTCCACTTACGGGGGAAAACCAGAAAACTAAAGCAATCAGCAACCCAAGTATCACTAAAGATGTAAACCAAGAGCATCTTGCCAAATCCGCGGGAAATGCAGACAGGCTGCTGCTGTGTGCAAGGACAGTGACATCTTGTGGGGGTTCTACAGAACGGAGCTTACAGAGGGACAGCAAATGAGGCTGCAATGTTGTGTAATTAAAAGAAACAGTACTTCAGCTGTTTATTTAATACATATACCATCAATAACATTTGGTAGAAATTAGGCTTTATTGCTTTTATAATGAGGAATGAAAATTAAAAAAAAAAACCAACAACCAGATAAATAACTAGTAAGAAAAACTTTCAAAATAAAAATTAATGGAGTGGAGTCCAAATAGCTCTGCAGCAGTTTCCTCTGCTCTCCCAGGAAGCAGTGATATTTATCTCTTAAATATTACTCATCCAACACAATAATGACAGAGGGGCACAGTTATAAGAGACTAGACAAGGAATTATGTTGTAAAGGCATACAGTCCAACATAAAAATGACATCCACATTAAGTGTTTTTTAAAAACACACACATAAATGCTCCATAAATAAAGCACGGATAATTATGCTGTTCCTTTCCACTGATTAACAGACTATGCCAGATTCGCTATACGTACTTCTTGAGAAAGCAAAGTTATATCACAACGGAGAACTAAAATAACACATCCTACTTCCCAGGCAGAAGGCAAGGTTTGGACCCTTCAGATTGCAGCAGAGCGTATGAGTTTCTGGAACAAATCTTGAACCTCTGTAAAGTGTCGTAACTCAGCCAAGATACTCAACTCTGACAGTTTACAACAAGCAAAAACGTTTTGATTTTTTTTTTTAAAACAAGTTTGCACCCAAACTAAGTTATAAAAACGTAACGTTTGCAACTTGGAAGATGACAGATTTTCCTACCGTAATGTTCATGTGTTCATCTTATTTTCTTTTTTTTTACCTGAGTAACCTAAGTAAACAGATTACAAGGCAATTTAAACATAGTAGCTAATACAAGGTTTACTGGACTTCTCATATATAGAAATGTACTTTAACGCTATTTGCAGTTTTACAAATACAAAATTAATAAGAATTTTAAAACATATTTACTGAGCAGCCATGTCTTTGATATCTGTACAGATCAACAGGTGCAGTGGAATTATGTACAGAATTTATCGTTTAATTTTTAAACAGCTTCTGTGCAGCCTGGCTGTAATGTGCATTTGAACATTTGCTGTCAACATCACAGGTCTGGAATTTACTGGTGCCAGAAATGGAGAGTACAGAGTAGAACAACAGCTCCTAAAATAATACTGTGCTATGCAGACACCTGTACGTAATTCAAACAGTGCATGTTACTCAATGCCTGATGAGGAATAATAGTCAGCTGCTAATACAGACACGGGCATTCACAGGTATCAGGTTTGTTACAGTAAGTATGGATGAATGAACTTCTCCATAGATAAACACTAAAGGAAAGGACTTGAGCTCGGAAGTCACGTAACAATTAAAGAAGGGAAGTTATGTAAATAACGAAACTTTCAATTCAACTTGTAGAAGATTAGTGCAGCAGGAAAAAATCCTTTACAGTAGCAATGAAACCATCCAGAAGCATTGTCACAGCTAATTCAGTTTTATTTTATAATCATACCAACGGAAAGTAAAAAAAAAAAAAAAACAAAACAAACAACATGAAGAAAATTTAGTTTATCTCTGATAGTCTTGTTAGTGTAGTTCTGTGTTATTGTACCTGCCAGAAGTTTCCTCCTCTTTTTGTGCTCTATTCACTCTATCGCTTTTTTATTATTTTTTTTTTAGATTTCTTTTGTCCAGCATAAATCCATAGACACTAAAGCACAGGGAATGTGCAATTTGCCAACCAGTGTGAGTGAAAAACCATACGGATATAACTGCTTCTATGAGGTAAGCTTGGAGTAACTTGGAGGAGAAAATTTGCGCTTCAAGTACTTGAGAATGTAAAGTGGAAGACAGCTTACAACAGTGATTGCTGACACTTTCCACAGGAAGGTCACAGTTGTGATAAAGGCAACATCTGCAGAAACAAAAAGGGAAAATAAGCAGTGGGAGCTGGTAACTTCCATAGGGCAGAGCCAATAACACTCTCTTAATTGTTTGCTTGTGCTATTGTTCAAGACCATGCAAAATTAAAAGAAACAAAGCAGCAACAAACCAACAGAAAGTTAACCTCAACATTTTGTTTTTGCCAACTATTCTCTTTAGACAGGAACTTCAAAGTTCCTTAAGGGTCTTTATGCTGTTTTGCAGCACAAAATAATTTTAGGGGAAACAGAATCCGAGTTTAAAAGCAAGGCTTTCTCATAATAAAAAGTTAAACTAGATTATTTTTCTGCTAGTAAGAATGATTTTTACCCACTACAACAGAAGTCCCCAAACAGAAATGCTGCTACCATTTGGGATCCTTTATTCCATATTCAGATTATTCTTCTCTGAAACAGCCACAACAACAAGACTGAATGATTCTTAAAACGTGAAGAGATTAAATTAGAGCCCACAAATTTAAAGGGAAAAAACAATGTAGTGATATTGCCACAAACCACACCGAAAAGCTATTTGTGTAACAAACAGTAACAGGAACGGTGACACTCAACACTGGCTACTGAAATTTTTTGACCATATTTCTGATGGTCAGGCCATACTTAATTTTATGACGGAAAGATCCCAGAACCCAGGTAATCTGAATAATTGGGGTTTTTTGCCCTTTTCCATCATTAATATACACATCCAATGTGTATATTAAATGATTTACTACTCTTTAATGAATTTTTAAAAATAACTTCAAGAAAAGTTAAACTTCACCTACCTAAGAAAGCTCCAAAAGACACTCTGCCTATACCTGTTTCACAAAGAGAGAGAAGGAAAATGAAAGAACAGATTTACAGAAAATACGTAAGTTACGCGAAACCCCCCCCGAACAGGTTAGCCACACAAAAAGGAAATGCAAAAGGCGTTAACTAGCATTAACTGGAATATTACTGCCTTTCACATGACAATCAGAGTATCTGAAACAGCAATTAATGCAGAACATTTTGAAAGCACAGAGATTTTACGTTTGGTCATGTTTTAAGGCTGTAAGTAGGTAGGCAGTTTTCTTCCATTTGACTTCAAGGTATAATTTACTGTGTAAACAATTAGATGAGAACAGTTCTAATGTGAACGAAAATTCAATTCAGAAAATGCAGTAAAGGAGCTGCTCCAACTTTACTCATTTAAAACACTTTGTGTATCAGAGTTCAACGCATAAACTTGTTGCACAGTTTTAGCCCAAGCCTGCTGAGACGCCCCAAAAGCCTACGGAATGTATCATCGAGACCTGCCTCTTAAGGCCATTGTGTGCAACTAACTCAGACACCTAAAAACTGATTTACTTCCGCGAGTCAGAGCTGTAGGGCAGTATCAAATATTTTTGTCTTTCTAATCTGAGTGTCCTGCCATACTTCTCCGGAAGAGACGATGCTTGTCAGTAACACCTTTGAAAGAAACAGTTTATTTGCCTGGACTGCACTGGTTTCCCTGATACATGGAAGTTGTTCTATACCTCGAGCTGAAAACCACCACTTAGGTTTATACTATTATTACAGGCACACAAAAAGGCTCCCTCCTCCCAGTTAAAACGTGACAGATTAAATAAGAGCAAAGCATTAAGCAGAAGTGAGACTAACCTAATGCATTTTCTCAGATTAACCGATGAGTAACACACAGTAAAACACATCTTTACAAAAGCCCATGAAATCGCAGCCTTCTGAGCACCCCCAGCGATGAAAACCACAGAAGGTAAGTCCTCAGGCTGCAAGAAGCCGTGCAACCAATTTGCTCGGACTTGTCCAGCAAAGACATGAGGATAGTAAAGCACTCCTCCTCACGGAAAGGTCTGCCAGAACGAAGTCCCTGCAATTTTCACACATCTGTGGACACCTAAAGGTGTTTCTCACTGAACAACACCTATGAAGGATGGAAGGACTCGCCGTCACCAACGCTGAAGGCTTACAAGGTGAAGCAGCAAGTTCTGCTTTACGAAGTTCCTGGAAGTTTGGACTCAAGAGCCAGTACCTGTATCTGTTCCTGCTTGTTCCCTTCATTCGTAATCTGGCTGTGGAGATTCAGGAATCAACCCAATAATCTCTATTGAAGAGTGTGTGCATCAGCGTCAGAGAAAAGAAAAAAGTACTCTGGCAAACCTGACATCACGTACAAGTGCCAAGCCCAGTAGGGTGGTTTCTTCACTAAAATTTGACTCCTGAGAAATCTGGGAAGTAACAGAACACTTGGGACAGGCAGTGAAGCATTTACTGATCTAAAAAAAAATCCTTATATTATGTAAATACACTACCCCAGTGTTGAACACCTGGGACACGAGAGAGTGAACGCAGAGCTAGGAGACTCCTAGAAACTACCACATAACATTTAATACTGCTATGAGAAGTGACAATTGCAAGAAGGGCAACTCCTTACACATCAGCTCCTGGGAAACAGAGATCACACCTCCTTGTGAGGTATGATCAAAATTGCTATTCTGATTTCTGTAAAAGTTACGCTTGGAAAAACCACACTAGGACCGAGATAGTTGCTTTTACTGAAGGATTATTTGATATAAAAAGAAACAGGTATTATTTTGATGCTCAGATCCTTGCCTGTTAAGCTTTGCAGTTAAAATGCGCTCTTCCACCTTATGAACTATGAACAACCAGAACTTTAAGACACGCTATGGCATACTGCAATTTAAAGCAAAGCAAACTTAATCTAAGCTTAATACAACTATGAAACAATTATTCTTATATAAAGTATCTATCCTAATGGCCTTCTGCCTCACTCTCCAGCAATACTTCAGCTCTTTTAAGTTTGTAGATCTACTGAGGTCCAATTGGTCTGGCATACAAAGTAAGTCACCAACTCAGTGAAAGGTCCTGATCCACCTCAATAGTGCAGCTCTCAAGGGCAAGTTAAGGTATGCATCTTGGACTGTCAAGATCAGATCAAGGATGGGACAAGCATGCGTGGTTTGAATAAAGCCTGTCACCTAGATAGATCGCACTAACAGGAATAAAGATTGTCAACCTCTAGGAGAAAAGGATAAGAGAATATTTTAACCCAACGTTGATTAAGCCTAATTCCAACTCAGTCATATTTTTTACGGAGAAAGCTATATTCCACAAACCATAACATCACCTATTCTGAATAAAAAAAAAACCTAGGAAAAAATATTAAAAATATAAAGCACAGCTCTTTGCTGAAATACTTTTACTATTACTCACCAAAGTATTCATTTAGAAATGCAAGAGAGGCCACATAGCAGCCAAGACTGAGGAATTCAGCCACCACCATTAACCAGTGCCATGTTCGTATGGTCAGGGCAACCATCAAGAGCTCGGTCAGGATTAGGGCAGTGAAGGAAATGGCAACGACATGTACAAATTCAGACTCAAACAGCAGCAGGGCTCCGTACATCAGGATACCACCTAGGAAAGGCACACAAAGTCAGCGACACACCGTGCAATGAAACCTCAGGGTATCAGTTTTCACAACCGCACATTGAACATTTGGTGGCTTATTACGAAAACTTGCCCAGCAATTTTGTTTTTATAATGTAACAACATCGATCTTTCTAAAAGGACAGAAGTGATATTTACTGTACTTCGTGCATGTGAAGTAAAACAAAGTCAAGCTGTAAAGGAATAAAACTATTAGAAAATTAAACACCTTTTAGTACAATATATCTGATGGACTGTTAATTAACCTCATTTTGTCAAGTGCTACAAATAAATGAGGTATTGTTGAAAGTGTAATTACTTTTAACTGATTACATAATTCATATGTCTACAACAGTACTTCTGTCATTCCATGAAAGAAAAATACTGTGTAAACATATGCAATGTGATAAGCACTCATTAAATTTTTTCTGGATTAGCATTTAATTAAAAACATGTCCTTTTTTAGGCGACATGCATCAATAAAAATACCAATCCACACCGTGTTTTGAACAGGCCTGGCACACTACAGGAATATCGATTTACAAGATAAACAGAAAGCAATATATAACTGCTGATGAAATGTTAAACTTTGGGAATTCAACCTGTAGCTGAAAAATTCTCAGTTCAGTAAAATTAGGACTCTCTCCTACCTTGGTAAATACTGATCAAAACCCAGATGAGGAAGGTCTTAAATGACAAAGATCTTCCCTAAGGGAAACAAGTGAGAGGACAGTTAAACACTACTTTAAAAAAATAAATAGTACTACTCAGTCCATGTAGTAGTTCACCTAATAGTTCTAATTTAATAGTTTATCGCTAGAGAGACATTTTACAAGTAAAATAAGCTGTCTTTGAAGCGAGGCTAAAAAGCTTCTACTTTTTTGTGATTCTTCGTTGCAAACTTGTATAGAAATCGCACAAAGTCTAAATTTGAGGGTAGGACAGTTAAAGCCTTAAATAGCAAAGATACTTTAGTTCGCAATGCTCTGGCTGGTTTTCAGTAAACTCATTTTTTTTTAATTTAAAATGTTTTAATGTCTGTTTTGTAATATGCAGTCTCCAAGAAAAATAGCACTGTGTAACCTACTGACCCAAACCTCAAGCAAAACTAGTTACTAGTCACTTCTAAATGTTGGATAAACTATTTGCATTCATACAACCGACATAGGACTACTGTAAGTTTTCGGCAAGTAACTATTACCAAATGCATTTTAAATCTTCTTGTGAATATTAGAGATTGAAACATATGCATAAATCAAAGAATAAACGCTGCACATGTGCATTCTGTGAGGGTACTGATGAAACACGTTAGGACTGGAGCTGAAAGGACACCCATTTAGAAGGCTAAAATGGCAAACAAAGCATCCATTTTGCCACAAGCGAAGTGATTACTCTAGAACAGGCTTCACAACGAAGACGCTTCACAAAGAAATGTGCTTCATTGCTGTAGGAAGCAATGAGTTAACTCTTTTTATTACTTCAGTAGGGGCCAAAACATATTCTTGCATAGACACAGTTCAGGGCAAGGTGCTAAGGACACGTTTGTAATTCTGTTTACAGTCTAGAATGTTGGTGACAGACTGAACGTATGGGGAAAGTTTCTTGTATAAGCAGAGAGAAACATTAGATTTTTTTTCTCCTGTGAGTGCCTACACATTTTCCTTTGAGTTCTGGACACTGCTTCCACCTTGGACCACAGCTCCCAATGAGCGATATTCGTGAAACAAGAATGAGCGTGAGTTTTGGTTCACCTTTGTGGAACTAGCAGGGGTGAGGCCCTCCCGAGCCTCCAGGGAACGCTGCACAACAGGTTGTGAATCATTTTCAGAGGAAAGCAGGGAGCCCTCGTACTTCCTTTCATATTTTCATCAGCTTTTCTAGCTGTTAACTCCGTAGGAGCCACAGGCACAGCCATGCTGAACCAGCGTGTCCTCCAGGCTGCGTGGCCACTCCTGGCTCTCTCAGCCTTGCTCATTTGCTCCTCTTCTTGCACCGGAGCAAGAGTCTGCCAACGACTTGTGCCAATATATCTTATTCTTTCAAAAAATCTAAAAAGCATTTTCATCACTAGCATAACCCAGAAAAGAAACCAATTCCTAGGAATACAATTACAGTCCATGTCAACACGTGTCTGAATAACAACAGTGAATAGCACTGGTAGAGTTTTGCATTTAGAGTCCGTAATTTGAAAAGTGATGTGCAGAAACAGGTAGGCTTCACAGCATCATGACTAAGGCAGCAGGCTGTAACAAACACAATAAGCCTACTTTGTAATAGTGAAGTCAAATGTAGCACACAAATAACTTTTTGTACTACTCATCCATCATCATTCACCGATCATCATCTGCCCCACACAATGTACTGAACGGTACTCTCCACTTTCTCCACGTTCTCTTTTCTTTTTTTCTTCTCAAGAGAATTATTTGGGTTCTAACTTATTTAATACCCATAAAGGTGCAACATAAGCTGGGAAAGCCAGTGATTCAGCATCTCCAAGAATGTCATTTAAGCCTAAACAAAAAACTTAGCCTGTGTTCATCTACCATCCCGGGCAGTTTCCAAGCACAGGTTAACTTCTGTCTTTGGAAATAAGATGCTTCCACGTCCCACCACCAGGTTTCCACAGACACGCTTTAGCAGGTGTAAGGCCATGCTTTTTTGAGATTAATCATAGGCTGAAATCTCACAAAGAAACTCAATTCTGGAGAAAGACAGAATCAAGGTCTCCAAGAGATGAGAAAAAAGGCTCCCAGGCTAATGTGGTTAATAGCTAATTTAGTACAATTAAAACAACAAAGGCTCCGAGAAGCTTGGACCCTCTTCCACTACAGTCTGCTTCTGAGCTTTTACACACCTCTTCAAAGAATCTAGTACCCCTAAAAAGACTACTACCTGCTTCTGCCTTGGATCGTAACTTTTCTAGCTGATACTTTAAGATGGAGCAGAAGCACTTTTAAAAAAACTTCTGAAAACAGAATTTTGAGATTTGTTTCACTTCTGCAGGTGAAGAAATTACACGCTTGTTTGCAAGTATGTGCAAATACACAGCAAGCAGTATCTACGGATGATTCAGTTACGATGTATTTGTAAACAGGATCTGTTCTTCAAAGAAAGTCAGCTTTTGGAGAGGTCAGGAGTAATTTTTGGGCGCTGGGGGAAAAAAAATAGATCTATACATTCACCTACGAGTTAAAAAGGAGCTATGACAAAGGAAGCATAACTAACTCCAGAGCAGATATCCTGGGGCCAGACTGAAGGCAACGTTTACATCAACCTACCTCCTTGTCGGAACTATTTCAGTCCAACCACTGGTGTCTTAAGAAACGTGTTACTAAAACTGAGTGGAACATCTGGTACCATGGATTACTTTCACAGCACAAAAGTCTGCATTCACTAGTTGTGCATCCATCTTGCACGGACTACCTCAAGAAAATGATTGTGAAAATCCCCTGTTTGGCACACTGGCGATTCCAGCATTTGTTTGTATCTACACACTGAGGCCATCCATACCTTTGTGAGATCCTTATAAAGTTCTGGATATAGCAATGCCATTTCTGGCTTCACATCCTGATCCAACACTAGAGAGAAGACGGGGAACATGGTATATATAGTTGCATACCTAGGTGAAAGGAAAGCACACAAATTGACACTTTTGCATGATACGGTTTTAAACGGACCTACTGAGTTCAAGTATTCTTTTGTGGAATTAAACTGGTTCTTCTACCCAGTACTGAGGCACCTCACCAGCACAGCTTTACACGTGCAACCTGCTCTTGTGCTGCTGAGAGCTGCCAGTCCCGAGAAGCTACAGGGCTTTTATACATTTAGAACCAGTAAATACATTTCTTTCTTATGCATGTACCATCCAAGCTTATCACCCGTGGCCACACTGCCCGTGCACTTGCACTTCGGACAACCAATTCAAGGACTTGACGTTTGAATTCATCCACAGACGATGGCATGAAAACTGAAGAAAAAACAAGCAATATATTCCTGACATCATAGGGAGGTGGAGGAATATGTCTGAACAGCTCTGTAAGTGGTTTTGGATCTTAGTAGGCACATGCCAGGTGTACACTCTAGTCTGTGGCAGACACTGACTCCGTGATGTTATTTAACAAATTAGTTTGCTATATTTATTACCAGATACCCTAACTGTTGGTTTTGACTTACCCTACCATTAGGAATCCTTGGTACAAGGGAACAGATGCAAAATAGAAGACTGATGAAAACACAGCCTACGAAAAGCAGATAATGATACATATTTAATATAGTTCTATACACAAAACATTACAATAAAGAAAAAAATAACAGTACTGGTTGATTAAGGTTTTGTGGCGTTTCAAAGACAGACAGACATAGTGTTTTTAACTGTTCAGAAAACAAAGTTTTAAATACCTGCATAGTTGAAATAATAAGGCCTCGGTGCATGACAAATTGACCAAGCGCTGCTGATCTTTTGTAACTGTTTCGACCGTGCACCATCAGCAGCCTGCCTATGTGTTTAAACTGCGTGATAGAGAAGTCAGCTGCTAGGGAAGCCTGCTTTCCCTCCTAGGACAGAACAAAAATATTCCAAACATGAAACCCAGTGTAAAAGAGGTGTTTCAAATTCCAAAATTCTAAGTGATAATTAATTTTAAAAGTCGAGTTTGCTCCTGCTTCAGGAATCACCCATGCAACGAGACACACAGGACAACTTCTGGGGCATGCTCTAAGATGCAGTGGCTGTTACAAGTAAGTTTAACCTCCTGTCCTGCTTCTTTCAGGTAAATGCTACACAGAAATAACTACGGTGTTCTCTGCTTCTCTTGTTTTTTGTGTTTAAAAAGATAGAGCAGAGGATATACAAGCAAAGAAAATATTAGTTCCAAGACTAAGCGTTTTTATCACACAGCACACTAATTTGAAACGATTAATTCACTACTGTTTAAGACTAAAGCTTCTAAGCCCATGTGACTATATTGCTATGCAGCACATATTTGACAACTGAACTATTAACATTACCTTGCCTTCAATTCCAATTCCACAGTCTGCTGCTTGGATCATGCTGACATCGTTTCCTCCATCACCTGGAAAATGTCACTGCAATATTCAGCTCTTCAGAGGTTTTACTCTCCTGGCCTTATAGTATTTTAGAAACCTCTTATATACCTTTAAATTCTTACAATTAATCTATGGACTATGACTAATTACTTCAGCAATCAAGACTTTTTCCTGTGGAATAAAGAAGACAACCACACCTTTCTCATGGAATGGCATTTGCTGCTACAGCCACATAATACCTGGCTGCTGATAAAGAAGTCTCTCTGCTTTTGTTTCAGCCATTCCTCAATGGTGCCATCTACTGCTGAAGTTTATTACAGATTTTAGCTACAGCAAACGAAGATGGTGCCAACAGTTACCTATTGCACACGTCCGTTTCCCAGTGTGGTGCTGTAGGAGTTTCACAATATGAGCTTTTTGGGTGGGAGAACATCGGCAGCACACTACAGCAGGACACTGACAAGCCAACTCTACAAATTCATGCTCATAATACTTCAGACAGACCTACGGAAAAAAAATACACTTGCATTTACTTACAATTAAATACTACTACGTGTAGTCTAACACAAAACCACAGTATAAAGAATTCTTTTATGAAGTTTTGCTTGCACAACATCCACCTGGGAGAAAAAAAAGCCACATTGTTTTGATGGTGGCTTTATTAATTTAAACTGACATTCCCTTTCATTCAGGGAGCCAACATGCTTTCGGGTTAAGAGAACAGACAATACTAAAGCACGCTGCACACAAATTCCATTCTGTTGCCTTACAGGAGACCAAAGAACCAATAACATTTGCCCATCTAGATCATACATCCTCTAATTAGCACTCAGGGAAAACCAAAAGTATCTCTAAGGACAACCTAAAGTATGGACAAATATTGGAAAAAAGTTTAAGACCGTGAAGACATTGATACTTTGCTTTTTGAACATAAGCCTACAGATAAATGGTATTTGACAGAAACCAAGTTCTTACCTCAAGCGAGTCCCCGGATATCACCAAGGCACAGTCATGCTTCCTCCTAAAGGCATTTAGTTCTAAGTGAGCCTCTCCTCGAGTGGTAACCTTCAATAAACAACACTCACTTAAAAGATTTTGTTATATTCTTAAAAAAACCCTGCCTAAATAAATCAGGTTTTGAGAACTCATACCCAGAAGGCCTTGGTCCTCCAACACGTTTTGTTCCAGTGCAAGCCCAATACCCACAGGATGTGACTATCAGCCTTGAATCTTACTGAGTGAAAAAGTAATCCTCAAACAAGAAAATCCACATAGTCCGCTTAACTGGTTCCTCACCAGAGCAGACCAAGGCTAAAAAATTAATGGATTAATGACATTAAAATATCTTAAGTTCAAGCTGACCTGAGTCTTTCCATCTTGGCAGGGCTAGAGGAAAAACAAAAACAAAACCAAAAACCCAAGCAAATCCCCAAATTTTTATTTATTATCCAGTAAAATACGTTCTTAGAATAATGCAAAATGTTCCTATTAATAGTTCCTTCAGTTTGGGTAAGTAGACACAGATTTCAGAAGGCATATAAACACGTGTGCTCACTAGTACTAATCCTTTTGGATCTTGCAGGAGTACGCAAGCAGGACCAAGTGGCACACTACAAGACAGACTTTTTTGGTTTTTCGTTTTCTGTTTTTTTTTTAAATTTACATAACTGTTGTTTCAGAAAGGCCCAGCTGTGAAATACAAAAAATGGTCAAAGGTTACCAAATGGATTTTGGAAGGTTTTGAGCTACAACACAGAACATCAAAAACTTAAATTATCACCAGATTTCGAGGAGAGTGGAAGTTTTGGGGTTTTTTTCCCAATAAAAGACCAATGCATTTTAGAGCCATCAAACAAGACAAAGTTCCAAGCACAGAGTAAAACACAACCTCCGATTACACTTCGAATTTTGGCTCTGTCGACACTTTGATGAAATAACTTTTCAAATACGTGAGTCTTTATCACACTGAACGTGAAGTTTTGTCTTTGGCTCCCTACTACCCAGAATCAGAGGCAGCCCAAAGGCCTTTCTCCCTCCAGATGGGCTCCACCACATGTAAAATTCGAATTACATTAAAAAGCACCTGCAAACAGAAAACCCATACACACGCCCCAGTTTGGAGGTTTTTTTCTCCTTTCCCACAACTAAACCTGTAAAAAGAAAGCTCCTGGCGCCCAGCTGTCAGGAGCCCCAGACCGCAGGGGCCCATCATAATCGCTTGTATTGCAGAGGCTCAGAGATGCCAGCACAAGGCACACACGGGTGAGCAGTGCTTGCCCTCTCTGTTCTACCCTGCACCTAACGGAGGGTTTTTTTTTTTTAATTTGTAAACACCTCTAGGACAATGTATCAGTTAACTTCATCATAAAAATAAGAAGCTGAGACTCCTAAGAAGAAGAAGAAGGAAGAGCATTAAAACCAAAATGCATCTTTTGGGGAAGTCAAAAGTAGTAAATAATTTTTTATTTACTAATTTATAACTAAAGTAGAAGTGTTAGAAGGCTTACTATTTTCTTACATTAATCCAGTAGTTATTTCTTTGCAACATATACAGCCACAGAAATAATTCTGTATAAATCCATTTCCTAACTAATTTAAAACTTTGTGTATTATAAGTTAAAGTTTTATGCTGATCTCTTATTACCAGTCAAGGTAATGAAAATAAAAATCTGACTCAACTAAATAGATTTTGTTCAGAAAGACTTAATTTGTGGTGCTACAACACGGAAAGGTCAACAAAAATTGATCTAAAGTTTTATCAGAAGCATTAATAATTTAATTGCAAATCGTAGTCTGCAGGGCCTAATTTGCCATTCTGATGCTTCAGAAGAAACTACATTTACATGTAAATTATATTCATATAATTATTTCTGTAGGTGCAAGTGGTTCAATTAGAACAAACACAGACATATTATGTCTGATCACACGGCATCAATCAACGTCTGGAAAATCTATTTTTGTTTGGTAGAGTTGCTGCTATGCAAATATAACCAAAATGTATAGAAAAACATATTGTTTACCTTTCTAACAATTATCTTAACAGACTCTTAATAAGATGCAAATATAAACCATGATACACAAAAAAAATCAAATTTTCTCATACTGATTTGTCTATATCGTCTATACAGAGGATGTTGGCATCACAGTTTAATTCAGGATTAATTCTCCTTTAGTCTAAAGAGTTCTATTATGCTAGAACGAGCAAGAACCACATTCAGATAGCCTAAATTCAGATAGCCTCCTTCCTACTGGCTCAGCACCTCACATCGACCCCTCTCCTTTGTTATCCAGAGGCACCTTACCATGCCCATGGTGTAAGTGGAGCGTAAAACGCACACTGAACCTCAGCCACCTGAACGTCACTACCAACCATTTCGGTAGCATATCAATTCTAGAAACAAGCACCCTCAAACAGAAGCAATGTTTTGTAATTCTACATCCTTGAGTAACAACATAAGCACTACTCTCTTGACCGTTATTATGACATTCAGTACAATAACCCATCAATTTTCAACAAGCAGCCAACTTCTAATCAAATAAAGCACCATTGTTATTAGTTGTCCTTTGATGAACCAACAAATGAGTTGGAGCTATACTTACAGGTCTGAAAATGTGAATATCTTGAGTCCTAGACACTAAGTGAGAACTTTTTGCAATGCAAGTTGCGGTCTCCAGTTTATCCCCTGTTAACATCCATATCTGTAAAATAATGTAAAGGTTTAACGTTAATATGTCTGTTCTCCAATTTCTGGTACCTTTTGGGATCAGATTACCAGAGAAAATACACCTATATGTGCATTTTTAACTAAAATTAATGAGCACGTTTTACTGCAATAACACACAAAGCAGAAAAGAAATCATAGAATCATAGAATGGTTTGGGTTGGAAGGGACTTTTAAAGGTCATGTAGTCCAATCTCCCCTGCAGGGGGCAGGGACATCTTTAGCTTGATCAGGTTGCT